AGCTTCTTTATCTTTTTTTTTTTTTTTTTTTACCATCACTTAGATTTTTTCCTATCATCTCCTCTTCCTCCTCGTTTATGATAGTCCCTTCTTCAGCACACTTCACCCATTCCTCACACATCGTAATCCTTCATCAGCTTCACCTTCCCGGCTCTGTCTCTGGTTGATCATACCATTACTGTGCCGCTCCCTACATCGCACTGCCCATCGATTAATCTTTTTTGTTTATCGCAAATTTTCTGACCTTGGAGATGATCGAGGTGAGGGAGAGGATGGATGGGGGGGGGAAGTTTGTTGGATGTGATTAATATTCAGGATGAGAGAAGAGTATTAAAGGAGTGAGGGAGAGTGAAAACTTTAGTGAAAACAGGAGAAAGTTAAGAGTTCACATTTAAGGATGATGGATGGGTTGTATGTAAATAAGGTCAAGAGATAAATGACTATGGAAGTATAATTATTTTGTATAAGAACTGTGTGAGATGAGTTTCTGGGACCTATAGATATTTATAAAGAAGGTTGAATTAAACCTCCAGGTACTATAAGTATTTTATTGATTATCATACAAAACACCAACATACCACACATGATGGCGAGACATGGAAATAACAGGACAACACTAACGTTAATTTACGGCCAGGAGACGTGACTCTGAATCCGGATTTTCAGAGATTTTTTTATTTATTTTTTCTCGTAATTGGACATGAGGACAAAAAAAAGGAACCCAATAACTGTAAAAAATTTGTGTAATTCCGACGTTATGTTGAGTGTCATTAATGTGTCATATAAGTGTAGACAGTAATAGATTCTTGTGTTACCAGTTAGGGGAAATTTTTTAACTTAAGAATCTATGAGAATCCGGATCCCTGATGGCCAGCGTTGACATCCCTCGGGTTATGTGGCTGGGAGAGGAAGGGTCGGTTCATTGAGCACTTTATTATTTTTTTATTTATTTTTTGCTTCGGGTGGTATTTTACATTTTTTTTTCTTTGCTTAATGTTGTTGCTTGTGTTACTGTTGCTGTTGTTGGTCTACACTTTTAAAAAAGATTCAGCATATAAAAAACATATCGACAAACATTCACACACGGACACACTCACATGCAGTTGATTAAAGATTTATTTTTTAGCGGTCAGTGTGTTTGATCTACTTGACAGGTGCAAAAATTGTGTCCTCCATGCATGTCCAGTAGCAACCCACCGTGTCCAGCACCTGTCTAGCGGGAAACATTGGTTGCTTTACGTCATACTCTTAGGAATGCATTTGTTTATATTTGGTCTCTTTTGGTCTGGTGTCCCTACTCAGTCATAACACCTGATACATCTGGAGGTAGAGGTGTCGACATGATTAGTGTATTCTAAATTGATATACGTTCTCTCACGATTCGCTACTTATGCCAGTTTTAGATTTGATGCATTACAAATATATATTTAACTCAGAGAACTTTATATATTTCATAAACAATTTGAAATAATATTTACAATCTCGTAATTTGACTTCACCCGTTGACCTAACTGGTGCTGGTGGTGTGTGTCCGAATCGTTGTTTAAGTTAGTGTCTACGACCCATAGAAACTGAAGTACAAGATCAAAAAAAGTATCTGTACACACTTCACACGAAACAATCTGACACCACAGACGATAGATATTGGAAAATGCCCAAACTCGCTAACGACATTTCCTGTTTTATCCATAGTAAGTATTGTTTGTTATTATGTACATTCAGAAGAAAATAGATTAATCTTGTGAACAATGTGTAGTGTGGTTCATGGTGGTGGTTACGTAGTGGCCATAGGTGTAGTGATCATTGAGGAAATCATCGGACCTAAGGTGTACAGATACTTTTATGGTCGTGTTTGCAATAAATTAGAAAGAATTATTTTTTTAAGATTCAAGAAATAATGGTAATAATAATGATACATGACTATATCTCTCTAGTCAATTAACCGGACGCTAGATAAACGGTATTGGTGCATCGTATGTATTCAGTACAAATGGAGTGTAAATATTGGACAGACACAGGTGTTCCCAGAATGCAAAAAGTTGTTGTTGTTGTTCGTGTTGTTATTGGCAGTTTCTCCCAAATGAATTCTGTGATTTTTTTCCGCCTTTGACCAGAGCGTCTGGCACCGCGACCATAGGTATATTTTGTACAGACGACACAGCGTTTTAAGGCGTTTGAAAAAGGCTTCCCCGTTTACAGAAAATGTATTGTGTAATTTTAATATAGAGAGACAAAGGGAGATGGTGATATACTAAGTGATCTGATGAACAAATTGGTAAATAATTGTTTGATTATTGTGTTGCATAATTGACAATATGATTAAGAGTAATTGATGCTGGGGAATTATTGGCTTTCATTAATATCATATTGAAATCCATATATTTATTAAAGTGGCTGACGTTGATCGACTGGTTTATTTATTACAGTAATTGATCAATTAGTTGAGTAATTGATTCATTCTACAGTTGACGGGTTTATCTATATACTGTACGGTACATATTTGTTGAGTCAGTGTTAGTATGTGTTCAAATGCGTACATGTAGAATCTGGGAGTTTGATGCACTGTGTCTTAAAGATTTTCCTGGACATAGCGTGAATATTTGTACTACAACATTGTCCTCACCTGACCTGACACAGCAACAGGTGAGGACAAATTTTCCTGTCATAATACAAAACATTCATCTGATCTCCACCAAAATAAGACAGTGTGTGTATATATGTTTCTGAGACACATTATATTATTTGTTCTGACACTATAGCCAGAAAAAAATCACATAAAACACATCTTAATCTTGAGAAAATTTCTACCTCTTGAGAGAAATAGATTTGATTTTAGTTAGTGAAGCTTAATATTAATAGAACCCCTTTATGGTGATGCTTGATACTAATAGAACCCCTTTATGGTGATGCTTGATACTAATAGAACCCCTTTATGGTGATGCTTGATACTAATAGAACCCCTTTATGGTGATGCTTGATACTAATAGAACCCCTTTATGGTGATGCTTGATACTAACAGAACCCCTTTATGGTGATGCTTGATACTAATAGAACCCCTTTATGGTGATGCTTGATACTAATAAAACCCCTTTATAGTGATGATACTAATAGAACCTCTTTATAGTGACGCTTCATACTAATAGAACCCCTTTAGAGTGACGCTACATATTAATAGAACCCCTTTATAGTGACGCTTCATAATAATAGAACCTCTTTATAGTGACGCTTGATACTAATAGAACCCCTTTATAATGACGTTTGATACTATTAGAACCCCTGTATAGTGACGCTTCATATTAATAGAACGCCTTTATAGTGAAGCTTCATATTAATAGAACGCCTTTATAGTGACGTTTGATACTAATAGAACCCCTTTACTCTTCAATGTTCACCTGATAGTTAGCACTCGTTTGTTTAAATGTAAACGGCATAGAGTTACATGAGATAATCAATACGTGTTAAACTGTTATCACATATTGCGGTACATAGAATGGATGGTCAGCTACGTGTGCCTAAAGTTATAATTACATGGTGGAAAGACCCTGGCGAGGAGATTTATTGGTGATGGTAGTTGGTTAATTAGTAATGGCAATAGCTTGTTAATTGATGGAAACAGTAGTTGGTTATTTACTAATAGCAATAGCTTGTTAATTGATGGAAACAGTGGTTGGTTAATAACTAATAGCAATAGCTTGTTAATTGGGGACAGCAGTTTGATAATTGGTGGAGACAGTAGTTGGTTAATTGGTAATAGCAATATCTTGTTATTTAATGAAACAGAGATTTGTTATATATGAAGCGAGTAGTTTGTTATTTACGAAGTTACTATTCTGTTAACTAACGCAGCCAGCAGTTGTTAATAATTGAAGAGTAATTTTATTAATGAGAACAGTATTTTATTATTTAGTGAAAACTGATTTATTAATTAGTGAAGAGTAAGTATTTAATTATTTAATCGTACTGTTTTCATCTCCATTATCAATGGTCGTATGGGAATCTCTCTCTCTCTCTCTCTCTCTCTCTCTCTCTCTCTCTCTCTCTCTCTCTCTCTCTCTCTCTCTCTCTCATACAGAACGAAGCTACAACAACCTAGGCACATCGTTACTTCAGTTAATCTTACATTTTTTCCTTTATTATTTATTTGGTTTTGGAATAACAAAAACATTAGATAAATAATAATTGGAACGATAATATAGAATAATTATATAAATTATTAACAATTCTCTTAAGGAAAATTACTACCGTTAATTTCCAAGGGTAATTTTTTTTATATGAAATCTCAAAGAAATTTCATTAACGTAATGTGGAGGAAAAGTTATTTATTTTTCCTTTCGGGGAAATTTGTATCATTTCTAGTGAAGAGATTTAACATAAACCTCTCTTGTATAGCCCATAAATACCACCTCAAAAAGACTCCTTCATATATGGTATCAAAGTCATATGCATATATATATTTTTTTTTATCATAACATCAGTCACATATGCCATTAAGACAGCCAGATATGCACAAAAACCCCATATGTACACACGTGTTCTCTATGTACACAGCCATATATATACAGTACTTTATTTCACCCAAAGTCACATGTTTGCTTGTGTCCTTAGGTAGTAGTGTAAACAAGGATATAAACATGACAATACAGAGGTACAGTATTTACAGGTCCAGTCTTACCAAGCCTTGTTTACAGCGGAGGGGGGGAGAGGTTGTTTGTTTCATAAGAGTATAAAGGTTAGATTCTCGCTGTGGTGGTGAGGGCTTAGAGACTAGTAGCTAGCACTTAGTAACTAGCAATCGGCATCCGGCGACTAGAATTCAGTTAAAGTAGCACTCAGGAATAAGTTGATAGTATTGAGTACTTAGCATCAGGCATCAAGAGCTTGTTAGTGAGTACAGTCATTAAACAGTTAGTATTTAGCACTCAGGAGTTATCACTTAGTGCTCTCTCTCTCTCTCTCTCTCACACACACACACACACACACACACACACACACACACACACACACACACACACACACACACACACACACACACACACACACACACACAGTATTCACCTTTTAGAACTCAGCGCTCAGCCACTAGCACATGTTGCTTTAGTCCTTAAAGTCAGCATTGTGTACTCAGCACCTAGCACTCAGCACTTGGCATCCCGTATCTAGCCTACATCATCAAGACCCCACCAACTAGCACTCAACTTTTATCACTCAGCACCTAGCAACTCATCTCCTAGCACTCACTATCATATATTCCACAGAGAGTACTCAGTACTTTGCACTCAGCATCTAACAATCAGTACCCAGAACTTGGTGTCTTACAGTCACCTCCTAGTACCGAGCATCTTGAAACCAGCACCTAGAACCTAGTACCTACTCTCTGCAACCAATACCTACTGTAGTACTCAACCCCATGTACTCAACACCCAGTACCAAGTCTCAGTACTCAGTATCAAACACTTAACATTCAGCACCAAACATTTAGCACCAAGTACTCCGTATGTATCCCTCAGCACCAAGAACTTACTGCCCAGTAGCTAGTACTCAGCACCCACCACTCAGCACCTAGTACTCATCACCACCTAGTACCCTAGGTCTCAGCATCTCCCATTCAGCATCTAACACTCTTACCAAGTGCTAGACAGTCGAAATATCTAAGCACCCAGCACCTACCACTCAGCACCCAGCACCTAGCACTTAGCACTTAGCACTATAGACAAGCTGACGAGGACTATTATAGTATGGACAGTGGCTCTGACAGCACTGGAGGCTGATGAGTTGGTGGAGTGCTGCATGGCTGCTGAACTCTCACCTGTGGGGATAATTAGAGAGGATTAGACAGGTGGTAGTAGGTGATTAGTGCATATAAATGAGTGTAGTTGGTGATAGATTGTGGTTAAAGAGGTGATTAGCAGTGTTTGTGATTAGCAGTGTTTGTGATTAGCAGTGTTTGTGATTTGCAGTGTTTGTGATTACCAGTGTTTGTGATTACCAGTGTTTGTGATTACCAGTGTTTGTGATTACCAGTGTTTGATACATCGAGGTGAAAATTATATGTGATTAGGGGTGAGTTAAGTGATTAATAGAGAATAATAAAACAGATAAAACAATCGGGTAATTAGTTGTGATTAGATTGATGTTTGGGAATAATAGATACATCTGAAAGAGTAAATAAGTGATTAGTAAATGACTGATACATCAATAACAATCACAAATTACATGATAATTAGAAGGTATTGGAATATTTTTACTCTATTTAAAACAATTAATTACCTATGAGAGTTATATCACATGAATGATAGAGGCGTTATTACCTGTGATTGATTGCGTGATTGATTATAGTAGATAAGTACCAGTGATTTAAGTGATGATGAATAAACCACCAGAAAAAGAAGTAGGTAAGAGTGCGATTGATTCGATGTTTATCCCGTTATTTTCTGTATAATGCAAAAACTAATACAAACAGACGCCGATACAGTTACAGAGTCTCAGGATTTGTTTACTGTATTATGTAAATTTATTTTACGTACATGTCTACATCATCTTGTACACATAGGACGTACACGTTTAATGTTCATATTATATCTACGTGTGTGTGTGCGTGTGTGTGTGTGTGTGTGTGTGGTATAATATCCTTACTTATAATAATCATTGTTAACAACCATGATTTTTTTAGTTAGTTTGTTAGTTAGTTATTCATTTGTTTATTTATTTTATTTTTTATTTATTTTTTTTTTGCCTTACAGATCATGTGACTGATTCACTTAAGAGTCATTCCCAGATGGTGTCGTCAAGGCCTCAACAAACAGTGAGGTAACTGTGATGAATGAAGGAGGTAAATGGTGATGAGCGTCAACAAAGGGAACTTGTAGGTAGTGAGGCAGGAAAATAATTGATACGTGTAGCGACTGAGGAGGATGAGAGAGAGGTTTTTCCCTACAAGCTGTTGACCATTAATACAGAGATATAAACAGTATATGACGTGTTGTATCGTTGTATCGTCTGACACTGTTTCGTTCATCTTCTTGACACTCAGATTTCCTTTCAACTTTGACAAATGTTTTCTGGTTCATTTATATTTTAGTTGGTTTTCATTGTTATGTACAGTCACTCAAAAACTATCTGCACTTGGGGTGATCGATGGATTTCAGAACGAACACTGTGACTCCTGTTGTCTCGGTAGGGTTGTCAAAATCCTTCGTCCCTTGTGTCAAATTTTTTCAATTCAATTTGGTATAGATAGTTTTTTTTTAAGTGACTCTACCTTGTCATAATCACTGAATATTTGATAATTCATAATGTGTTCTTAGATTATATTATTCTTAATCTCACACTCATCCAGACAAAGAACGTTGGCATTTAGTTTCAAGAAAGGAGATTGCTTTTCTATTAAAACCATATGGCGAAGTCTTATTTCATAATTCATTATTGGCCATAATTAATATCGCCCATTATTAGAAGGTGGCTATGATTAAATGCCTTTACACTACCTATTAAAGAGCTCGTAACCTATGATTTAAAAGATAGTTACAGGATTCAGATATTAAGTCAACCATTAGAGAATTACTTTGTTTAATTTTACTCTAGTTTTGATTCTTAAAAGATATCAAGTTTATTTACAAATTCAGAGTAAACATAGGAGACGACATTCAACTGTTCATCCCTGTGGGTCATCGCGGTATCAGTAGACGAGCTATTTACACTATCAAGAGTTTGTGTTGGATGATCAGTGTCTAATGTTTATATAGCCTCTGTCCCCACTGTGAGAGGCTGTACTGAGGGGATTGGCTCTCTTGCGCTGTTACTACACTTATCATGGGACACTGTTGACGCACATGGGACACTTCTGACACCCGAGGGACACTGTTGATATCCAGGGAATTTGTTGACACCCGAGGGACACTGGTAACACTCAAAGGACACTTTTGACACCCAAAGGACACTGTTGACACTCAAAGGACATTGTTGACACCCGAGGGACACTGGTAACACTCAAAGGACACTGTTGACACTCAAAGGACATTGTTGACACCCGAGGGACATTGTTGACACCCGAGGGACACTGGTGACACTCAAAGGACATATTGTTGACACCCGAGGGACACTGTTGACACTCAAAGGACATTTTGACACCGAGGGACACTGGTGACACTCAAAGGACACTTTTACACCTAAAGGACACTGTTCCACACGACAAGGACATTTACTGGTGACACTCAAAGGACAGGACACTGGTGACACTCGAGAAGGACACTGGTGACACTCAAAGGACACTGTGACACTCCAAAGGAACATTGTTGACACCTGAGGGACACTGGTGACACTCAAAGGACATTGTTGACACCCGAGGGACACTGGTGACACTCAAAGGACACTGGTGACACCAAGGACATTGTTGACACCTGAGGGACCTGGTGACACCCAGGACACTGTTGACACTCAAAAGGACACTCTGACACCCGAGGGACACTGTTGACATCCAGGGAATTGTTGACACCCGAGGGACACACTGACACCCGTAACACTCAAAGGACACTTTTGACACCCAAAGGACACTGTTGACACTCAAAGGACATTGTTGACACCCGAGGGACATTGTTGACACCCGAGGGACACTGGTGACACTCAAAGGACATATTGTTGACACCCGAGGGACACTGTTGACACTCATGAGAAGTATTCATTCGACCACTCAGTCTCCTCCTTTGATCAGCTAATGTACAAGTTCAGTCAGTCAGGTCACTGCTTTTGCCGATGTATTAGCTTGATCAACACACACACGTCCATGTGAGAGAGAGAGAGAGAGAGAGAGAGAGAGAGAGAGAGAGAGAGAGAGAGAGGGGGAGAGAGATTAACCTAACTTCCTCCCTCAGTTTGTCTAAGCCGGTCACTCGATATACATGAATATACAGTGACTAGTGAGCACTTAGTATAGACACAAGCGTATGTATGACTGGAGTGTGTCTATATTGCTGTACCATGAGAGATGTATGAAGGCAAGAATAATATCAAATAACTGAGTATATTAGAATATTTACCTTGACTGATTTGAACATTACTGGGTGTTTGAGATTACCTGCCCACTCTGTCTACACCTGGGGACACTACCATCATCTGAAGGACATTACTGACACATTTGGACACTGTATATATCCACTCAACCCTGCCAATACGCGTTTAAAAATATTAACACCCGTGAAACACCAAAACACCTGTGTGGTATTATCGACTCACATAAGAGTGAGTCAGTGTCAACATAGGTAAAACACGGCCGACATCCCTGTGACAGTGTCGACATCCGTGCATCAGTGACTTCTTCCGTCGCACACACTCATACGACACCTTTGGATCTCGTGGGATTTTACTGAGAATTTTTAGGGGGAAGGCTTGTATGTGGTGGGGGTAGGGGAGAATAGTGGGGGGTGGGGGATGTAGAGAGAGAGAGAGAGAGAGAAAGAGAGAAAGAGAGTACTGTCAGGAGTGTTTGGGAGGCGATACCTACAATATTCCTTAATGCACAGACAACCATTGGGCGTAATTAGTGTTGTTTAGAACGAAGAAACAAAACTGCCATATATGTTAGGATGAAATGATAATAACAATAACAATAATAAATTATCCCTTAAACTAAAAAAAAAGAATAAATCAATACATATAACAAGAAAAGTTAAAAAAAAATGATAAAGTTTAAAAAGTTAAAACAAATGACAAGAGAAAAAACTGAAAATCTTAAGGAAACGAAAAAGGTAAACAATAAAATACTAGGAAACATTTTATTGAGGGAGGAAACTTCCGGGTGATATCAGGTCACAATTCAGGGCTCTTTAGGGTACGAAGTTAAGGAGCAGGATGCCCCCACCTTGTCATGCCTTATTAGAAGTGAAATATCTTGAGAAAAAGTGTGTGAGAGAGAGAGAGAGAGAGAGAGAGAGCAAAAATAATGTCTATGCCTCCCACATTGCCATTACAGTTTGTTTGCCATTACTTAATTTATTTTGTAATTCCTTGTTATTTTTTTTTAATTTATTGTCTTTTATTTACTCACGTTTTTTTTTCTCTTTTCTTCGTTTTATTTTGTATTTTCTCTCTCACTTCCTTTCCACCTTCAGTGATTTATCTCCCTACCACAATTAATTTTTTTCTCGGTTCCATTTTCATCGAATTTGCTCTCCTTCTTTTTCTTCCCCCTTCGTATTTCTCATTTTATTCCATTACCTCTTCGTACACTTTGTCTCCTGTTAACTCCTTCAATATTTTCCCCTGTACATTTATTTCCCTTGCTATTTCTTTTCCTCCTCTATTTCTTTCTTCTCTATTATCAATCTCTTCTAAATCCGTTAGTCCCTCACTCCCTCTATTATCCCATACATCGCCTTCCCTTCTTCCTATCTTTTCTCTGTCAAATTTTCAGTCTTATATGAAGGGTTAATGCGAAATCATATTCATTTTAAAGCCTTGTGTTCGAGGTCCCTATTTGCTGAATATAATCGTCTGGCGTAAACCAAATATTAAAAGTTGCATCTCCCAGCGGTGAAGGAGTTAATATTTCATGGTATTTCAGTGGCGCGAGGATGTTAAGGTCAGGAGGGGGTTGAAGTGTCTGTTTTTTGCTGTCGCCAGTCTGTCTCTTTGTGTAGGAGGAACAGGGTGTGTGTTTACCATGGTCTCCCTATCCTCAGTTTTACACATTAATATCTCTTTTATCACCTCCATAACCTTGATTATATGACTAAATTATCTGTTCTTGTTTTTTAAATCCAATACGACCATCAAGTCCAGTCAGTTTGAGCTTCATCTGGTAATCTTGTGGTCTTATACGCGGCCCCAGGAGTCTCGAGTATTTTATACACTTAAACATGTATGTATTTCCCACATTTTATATTTAATTTGTAAGACTTGTAATTCCACTGATGAATGTATAAGTATTTTTCATATATATTTATAAATACATTTTGTTTCATTCTGTTAATAATCTCTTGGCCTACTTAGTGTTTCATATTGCAGATTAATTTTATATTCTGATTTTTTTTTAACTACAACATATTATTTCAGTACATTTGAAGTGTTTTATTTTTTTTTTATTCTACTAGTATGATAAGATTTTTTACTGAACAGATTCTTTTGTGCTCGCTTGGGTTATAAATGCCTATTACGTAAAAGATACATTCAATTCTCAAATCATTTCTTTCTTTATATTCTTTTGATATTTGTGCCAAGGGGATAGGTGTAATGACCTGGGGGTAATGTACGCTACACATCTATCGTTTTATATGTTATAGCAATTTTACGCTTTAACATTTCTGATATATGAGAAAAGTTATATATATATATATTTCTGTCGTCTTTCATGACCCCAGACGAGGGACCAGGTACTTATCTCTTAGGGTCGCCACGGAACACTTGCTACCAAATTTATCCTTTTTCTAATATTAAATAGTACACGTTTTTATTTATCTTTTCTAATTTATTTTACGTTATTGTGGTTATTATCTTATCACCTTAATTATACTTTTACATTAAGAGGCACGAATTACAGGAAGTATGTTTTATAGTTTTAACTTTATATAAAATTATCGTTACTAGACATAAACCCCAGCGTGATAGAGGTAGGGACCAACACACACACACACACACACACACTTAAATGTTTAAACCTGACAGATATTCACTACAAAGATGAACAATTATTAACCTAGAAAACAGGATTATTGGATCGTAGGTCTGTTAAGTGTATGTGAACGTTGATTGGACAATATGGATGAAGGCGGGGAAGGTCATTTGATAATTGTAGAATAGATAAAGTAATTTGAATGTTTGTTTTTTGTATTTCGTCTTTGTAATTTGTTCTTAAGTTGTTTTGGTTGTAGAGGTAGTTAGTTGTGATGCTGAGAAACTGCCCATGGATGTAATGAAGCTCCTGAGATTAATTCCGGGTTGTGGGGTCCTGAGAGGTAGACGTAGAAAGGAATATCAGAGTCTGTTACTTTATCTCTTATTTTTGTATCGAGTTTTCTCCGTTTTGAAAGAGATGTGAGAAGAAACTGGAATAAAGACAGGAGTAAGGAAAAAGAATGGTAAATAGATGCACTAAAGATGATAACAAAGGAGAGAAGTTGTTATTGATTCTTTTGTGGAAATGAGAATGAAAGAGTGAACAGTGAGAGTAATGATAAATAATAAAAACTGAAGAAAAGGAATAATAAAGATCTGAAAAGGAAAAATAAGTACAGCGGAGAATGAAAAAGACGACGGAAAAGAAATAATGAAATAAACTGTGAAAATAATTACATCCTGTTCCGACAGCCCCGTAAACAAAGACAAGAAAATTGGAGAGCAAAGAAAGAAGAAAATGATAATGGTGGAAAGTTCAGCGGACAGAAAAAGACGAAACCATGAAAAAAAAAATCACTCGTTCCTTTTCAACTTAAAAAAAAAACATACAGTGGAGTTGAAAGAAAAAGGTTTATTGTCAGATATGAATGTGTAGTTTTCTCACTATGAAGAGGACATGTATTACTGTCTAGCTGCAGTGTGTGTCTCCGTGAGTGAGTTTAAACATTTACCCAGAGTGTAAAAGTCGACTAGCACCCAGCCAGAGGTCCAGGAAAGCAGGAGTAACCATCCTTTCAATATACTCTAGTTAATACTTCTCCTCACTCTCTTGGTCGGGGTTTTGGGGTTATATAAAAAAAATGACGCACGGGAGAGTAAATTAAAAACTTGGATGAGCTGCGTATCTCCTGAAGGCACCTGGTTTATACTGTGAGAGGAAAACCCAGAGGAGGCAAGAGCTGACCCTCTCAAAGAAGGATTTAAGGTTCCTCACTGAACCTCCTGTCACTCTCACTCCCTGCCTGACACCGCTGACACAGTTGGCTGGATGAGGGTTGATCACCTGACTGACTGATGAGTATTATGTGTCGCTTGTGAGTACACCATGTTAAACACACACACACACATACACACACACACACACACACACACACACACACACACACACACAAACACACACACACACACACACACACACACACACACACACACACATACACACACAAACACACACACACACACACACACACACACACACACACACACACACACACATAAACGTACATATTGTCTTCAGGTCAGAGTATTTGGTCTATCTCTTTGTGTCCAATATGACGTATAAACCTGAAGGACCTGTATAACTCACCAGAAGGACCTGTATAACTCACCATCAAGGACCTGTATAACTCGAGGACCTGTATAACTCACCATCAAGGACCTGTATAACTCAAGGACCTGTATAACTCACCATCAAGGACCTGTATAACTCACCATCAAGGACCTGTATAACTCGAGGACCTGTTTAACTCACCATTAAGGACCTGTATAAATCACCATCAAGGACCTGTATAACTCGAGGACCTGTATAACTCAGGGGCATCTGACCATCAAGGACCTGTATAACTCACCATCGAGGACCTGTATAACTCACCATCAAGGACCTGTATAACTCACCATCAAGGACCTGTATAACTCGAGGACCTGTATAACTTACCATCAAGGATCTGTATAACTCACCATCAAGGACTTGTATAACTCGAGGACCTGTGTAACTCACCATCAAGGACCTGTATAACTCACCATCAAGGACCTGTATAACTCGAGGACCTGTGTAACTCACCATCAAGGACCTGTATAACTCACCATCAAGGACCTGTATAACTCACCATCAAGGACCTGTATAACTCGAGGACCTGTATAACTCACCATCAAGGACCTGTATAACTCACCATCAAGGACCTGTATGCGGACGGTGGCTGTGTCGGCTTCAGGAGCGCTGCAGCTGTAGTTACCCGAGTCGGAGGTGGCGGCCGCCTTGATCCTGAGCCAGGACACAGGACCCATCCCTCCCGACGACGTCTCCACACTGTAGGGGGAGGAACCAAGGGCGTCAGTGAGGAACCAAGGGCGTTAGTGAGAAGGTTTTGTGGTGAAGGTGGAAGGTCGATAATCTTGAGGAGGTGGATAGACATGATTGAGAAATAATTGTAATCTGAAATCGAAGAGAGAGAGAGAGAGGGTGGGGGGTAGGGCGTCAGATATCAGTTGCTTCCACGAGGATTAGGTTATATTAGGTGTCTTTTCTTAGATAAAGTGAAAGTTTAAAAGAAAAAGAAAAATACACATGAAAAATCTTTGATAAATTTACTATACACTAACATAATCTTTTTTGTGGTTTTCTTTTAAACACAAGTGTTTACCGAAGCTCATAACACACTTATTACACCAACGAATTATTACGGCATCAATGTAAACAACAAAACCAAACAAACAAAATTTCGCGGATGCACAGTTGGGTTTCTACTTGCTGGTTCACATAAGCAAAGCTGGATGGAGGTAAACAACTAACTCAACACACAGGTGAGTGTATATACGCGAACAAACATGGAGAAGCAAACACTCTGGCTTTCACGGACACAAGGAAGCATAGTTTCTGTGTTGCCTTGTGTATATCTTACTTAACACGTTTAGGGTCGTAAAAATCTCGTAAAACACCAAAATAAACACAGGAACGTGACCGTGGACGTTGAAATATACCGTACGTGATAATGTACATAAACACTACAATACGCTCATTAACATTTATAAAATCTACATACTTTAACATTATATTTTTTTTAGTTCAAGGACGGGGTGACCAAGAGAAGGTTATAATTAGTCGTACCTCCAACAATGCCACACCTGTCTTAATTAACACCCAAACAACAATAAGTTTCACCAAACTCTACAATTCTCATTATTTTTTATCATTGTGAGACATTTTATTCCTACATTTGTAATCAGACACACAGATGGAGCCATTGCAATAATCCCTGGCCTTACCATTCATTCATTTGCAATAATTAGTTAGCTATTCGTGTGATTTCCTATGTCATAAGTTTGGCAGGGGATAATAACAGAAATATTAATGGATAAAGTTGTGGGTTGGAGGGCCAGAGGAAGGCAGAGACTTGGATGGATGAATGACATTAAAAAAATAGGTCCCCAAAGAGATGCAAAGCCTTAGAGGATTGGTAAAAACAGCCCGAGAACGATTAGACTGGAGGACTGTGGTCGCCAACCCTAAGATATAAGGACGGTACACTGATTGGTTGATCCCAGTAGTAGCGTCCCTGACTCCCCACCTCGTTGGTCAGATTTGTGCCTCTCGTCGGTGGGATTTATTAGATATATAAACTGTAGCACGTTCTTCTTCTGAGACTATTTCTAATGATACAAAGAATGGTGGAGACGGACAGGTTAGGTTAGGTTAGGTTAGGTTAGGTTAGGTTAGGTTATTATCTTCATATTTTTCACCAAATATTCGTTTTATACAGATAGTAAATGAGATCTGTAAGAAAATAATACTGTTAAATTTTTCGCCGTGTAATGGAAGCATCTAGTATGTGGAGCAGAGGCAACATGTTACTAAGGTACAGATTATGATAACCTTATGCTAACTCTACACAAGGGTACAGTACTTACTACGGTATAAATTGCTTTTACCCAGTATGCAAGAACACATGATAAGCTGGTCCTATTATCATTGAAATTAAAACATAATTTACAAATACATTTCTTGCAAGACTAAATTCCTTTGGTTATGTCGTTGTGTTTAAGTGAACAGCCAAGGGTTAAAAATTTGTTGTTATTGTTATGTTTTTATGGAGTTACTTTTTGCTTCTCCTGTTGGCCGTGAACCAGTTAGTAAGACTTCCATGAATAAAATCTACTCACTATGATAAAATATTTATAAGCTGAGTGAAGCTACGGTTGCGACGTCACCTGCTAAAATCTGTCACTGGAACAATTTTCATTAGAGTAAATATTTATGTTGAGAGTTTTATAAAATTTACCGCAAAATGAACCTTCACTGAGTAATTATTTTTTTGTTTACAGTAAAATAATAGTTTACTGTCGGCCTCCTTCCCCTTACCCCCCCCACCCACATCACCTCCCCCCCTCCTCACCTCCCCCTTCCCCTTTGCTTCTTTTAATATATAAACCAACACCTTAAACCCGCCCTTGGTGCCATAAACCTCCCAGGATGCAGGACTGGTCATCTCAACTCCAGTATGATGAGAGGACTCGGAAGAATAGGTTGTTTTAAGGCGTATGACTGTAGTAAGGATGATAAGGAAAGTGTGATTAAAATTCTAATTAACAAGAAAGGAACCCGGATGTCTTGGCCTCGAGAAACAGAAAATTGTAATTAAAAAAAAATGGGTTTAGTTAGGTTAGGTTAGGATAGTGATAACAGAGGGTTATGTAACTCAGTATAAAGGGTCACTCTCTATAACATCAGGATAAATGGGATAATACAGGATAGGTTATTGGAGAATTAAGATAAAACTCCAACAGGCCGAAACAATAAGTGAATAAATTTAAATAAAAGAAATCTATCTCGTATATTTGTTGAACTTGGATTCTCTTTATCCCGGAAGAAAGATCTAGCCTCCTTTTATTGCTCGTATATCCAGTTAAACTCTTTAATGCTTGAGAAAAAGGGGGATTGAACTCCAAGATGGGATATAAAAGGAATTCAAACTTTTGTGAAGTATTTATTTTACTTCTATGTTATCTTAACTTGGCGGGAAAGCTAGAAACTTGATCACTGATTGTGGTTCCTGGTTCTGTGCTTTGAGGTGTTTATACATGAGTGTCGTGAAGATTCTGTAACGTTGGTCGTGAAAAAAAGTAAAGCAAAAGAAAATCTGAGTTCTGACCCCCATAAGACACTGTTTCCTGGTAGTTGTATTCACAGTATTTTGATAAATTACTTCCAATTACGACTGTATAACTTCATACGTCTGAGATGCTCTCCATAACTGTCCTCTGATCACCACCATTCCTTTTTCCGTTTGATACAAGAGCCAATCCTGTTTATAAACCTTCCTCAGTAAATATGCTGTTAATGCAGCTATATAATACGACATAGAAGTCACTCAGCTGAAATGTTATACAAAAATGTTTTATGAAATTATCATAAGAGTGTACTGAGACTGTCACTCACACGTCAAACATGTTATGGTCTTTCATCGGCCTAATCTCCACAGTGAGTGATTGTGTGTCAGTCAGGGTGTGTAATTGTTCATTCACGTACACATAACTTCTTCGTTATAATGAGAGGTCATTAGTTGCAACGTTTGGTGCAATGTCTGCCTGACCGACCAAACACAAGCGAATCTCCGCTAATGATCCTCACAAAATAATCGTCATATATCTTGCATGTATCTGATAATCCTCAAAGTCAAGATCAAATAGCTCTGCCACTGCCCAGGGAATTATTAGATACATGCTACACACGGGTTCAGCAGTTACCAATTTGACCAACTGATTTAATGTTTAATATTTTTGTTTAAGGTGAATTTCCAGGAAACATATTTAGTATTATGCTGCAAATATTTTCATGTCAGTTTCGCAATGTTGATAACACAGGTGTCAGTACGTGTTACCTACAATGTTGCCTTGGTAGGGATCCTCCTTTAAATGTGCAGTAGTGACACGCGGTGACGTTAGAGCCTTCACAACATTTCAAATAGTGTTCACAGCCAACTGTCAACACACTTGGAGCCTCCAGTGACTGTCTCCTTAGTCTTAATTCCACTTGGATATCAAGAAAGTCTATACTGTTTAGGAGGCGGATAAAATTGTCAACACTTATTAAGGGTAATAATGTTTGAGACTAACTCACCCTAATTGACCCTGAGGGCAAAGTTTAGGACTTCAGGGTTATGAACAAACTTTGAGGGTCGTAGCTATCTCGGTAACGAAGCTGACCGAATCTTAAACGACTGATATCTGATGCCATTGGCAACCTTATGTCAGGTTCACTCCCAGTTTGTGCGTCGCTTGGGTGTTGCAGTGTGTGTCATGTGTCAGCTGTAGCCTCTGTGTCATGTGTCAGCTGTAGCCTCTGTGTCATGTGTCAGCTGTAGCCTCTGTGTCATGTGTCAGCTGTAGCCTCATGTGTCAGCTGTAGTCTCTGTCTCATGTGTCAGCTGTAGCCTGTACCATGTGTCAGCTTTAGTCTCACCCACATAATGGAGGCTAATGACTTCTGTTCACACGTGTATTTACCAGGTGTTAATTGTCAGGTGAGTTTCTCCAGTACAGCACAGGTGGGTGACTGTGGTCTTGTTTACATACAGTACACCTCACCAGATGTCACCACCCTTGATAGTGTTGCTGTAGATCCCCGTACTGTCAGTGTCATATGCCAGTTGGAATGAAGATGTCAAGTGTTGGCTAAAGTCTCAGTGTCAAGTGTCAGTTATAGCCACGGTGTCAGCTGGACTTTAGTGTCAGCAGCACACGGGACTGCTACTGTGCGTTATATACATGAGGAAACTTTGCCAGGCACAAGTTAGATCGCTATTAGCCTGTACAGCCCACAACACCAGCTGGAATTAATGAACAACTTTATGCATCTATTACACTCACCGAGCGTATATATATATATATATATATATATATATATATATATATATATATATATATATATATATATATATATATATATATATATATATATATATATATGACGTTAAGGTTATTAAGTCTAAATTATCTATTGCATCTAACTGAAAGAATGATTCCCGCGAAGGTGAACATTAAGGATTAATTGCTGTATGTGTTAACACCCGGCAGAGGTCAAAACATTTTTATCTTCTAGGTTAAGTTAGGTTAGGTTATGTTATGTGCTCTTGATGACCTCTTGTAATCAATACCGTCTGCTCCACCACACTCCCTGAGTACTAGTACAGTACGTGTTGTTAATTCTGAGAGAAATATCTTTACTTCATTTATTACAAGTTAATGGAAATAGCAATTAATCAAGTAACAAATCATCTTTTAAAAAAATATTTCACTAGCGTCATATAAACAAATGAAAAGGAAGGGTGTCATAGGCCTACACCCCCCCCCCACCACCACCACCTACGCTCGACAGTAGAGTTAGGAACCCATTCACAGCTGGGTGAATTAAGGGTGCCCTGAGCGTGAACCAGCTGTGTCCACTCGGCCACCGCACCCCTTAATTGGACAAAATTTTTATACTAAAATATGCAAATATGATACAAAACAAGGCTGGGAAAATGAATTAAATAATATTTGATCTCATAAACCAGACGACTGAGGGGAGTTATGGCCAGCTATAAATATAAACAGTACAATTAAATGTAGGGATGTTAAAAGACAAGTAAAAATAGGACAATTAAATGATACACACACACACACACACACACACACACACACACACACACACACACACACACACACACACACACACACACACACACCCTAGAGGACGAGGTCTAGTGTCACGATCACTTCTTGACCCTTGCGTTACCTCGTGTACATGAAGGTTCCTCACGCCTCACCGTCAACAGAGAGGCTCACACACAAATACCTTTATTTTTCTAATATTTTGTCTTATCTTCATCGAGTTTAGATGATTCGAAACCTTAAGTTAGGCTTAGAAAAACTCAGTCCAGTACAGGTAACGATCATGTTCACCTGTATTATGAATTACGAGAGATATTGAGCTAATAATGACAAGTCTGTGTACTGCATGCAACACTCTGAGTGATTAGTTTCAATACAAGTCAAACTTTCAACTTATACTAAACCGAACTCGAAGTTAAACGCGAGCGATCCATTTTTCACAGGAGCTCTCAACAATTTACTTTGGAATTCATGGCTTTATGATTTTATGATGAAGTCAAAGCGAATGTTGCATCATATATTTTAGCTATACAGTAGAATATAAAAATTTTTCTTGCATTAAAGGAGAGAAGAATCCACATTGTTGAAACAGCTCAAATTCTTAAATCTGATGATATTTAATTTATATGTTTATTATGCGAGTTTTTATTTTTCTGGTATTCTAATTTAATGCGATTAATTTTTATTTCGTGGTGAGTAATTAATATCATCTGTATTTTTTACCCTTTAGAGTTTTTGTTGAGTTATATTTAATTTCACAAATATATTCACTCAAGTTCCAGTTTTATTCAGTGATATATTATACTCGTAAATGTCAAGCGTTTTAGGAAGGATCAAAACATAACCTCTCATTAGACTTCACTATCCTCACCTTCACTTGTTAATTAACACCTTATCCTAAAATTACATAACCTGTAATCCCTGCATCACACTACAGTTACCCACGTCATGCACACACACACACACACACACACACACACACACACACACACACACACACACACACACACACACACACACACACACACACACACACACACACACACACCCCCTAGGACCTTACCTGACACCGGCGTCGGGGGCGTGGTACACCTTGACGCCGCCCCTAGACCACACGACGGCGTCCTTAGCTACATGGTAAGCGTTGCAGCGTAAGTCGATTCCTGATCCAACCTCGTAGAATTTCTCCTGTATGGCTTCTCCTCGGGCGTCATAGATCTCCAGACGAGGAACTGAAGGAGGAGAAAGAAAGGTGACGGTAGAGACAGGCACAAAAACAGACAGAGACACGGACACACAGACAGATAGACAGACAGAGTAAAGGTCTTGTAGAATTTCTGGATTGTATCTTCCTGGGCAATGTTGATCACCAATAAGAAAACTGATTGACTGAAAGAACATTGGGCTGTGTTGTAGTTATTCAGAAGTGAAATGGACGTTGGAGGAGAGAGAGAGAGAGAGAGAGAGAGAGAGAGAGAGAGAGAGAGAGAGAGAGAGAGAGAGAGAGAGAGAGAGAGAGAGAGAGAGAGAGAGAGAGGTCATATTCTGGTTAAAATCATCTACGTTCACCGCTCCTCTGTGTTAGATGAGGACAAGAGACATTAACATCGCTTCTGAGTTATATGGAATTATTGAGTTGTATATAAATTGTGAGTTTTATAGAACTTATCACTGAAACCCAAGTCGTAGTTCTTCTCTTGTCTATATTTAAGGTAGAACTTAAGTGTTACTCCAGAGCCATTTATGTCATTGCCTTTATACCTGTGCTTGAGGGACAACTCTGCCCACACTTGTTATAAGATAGAACTGAAAAAAAAAATCGTAAATCGTAACACCCGGTAATAACCTACAATAACAGCGAGCCTTAACGACCATCTGGGTGGTTAAGTGGTGACGTCAGGAAGATAAATAAAAACAAATATGATACAAGATAACCAAGAAACGTTTGTAAAGATCACACCACAAGTAACGTTTATGAGGAACAGTCGAGACTACGGATGGACAACAAACGTTCACCTAACCTGACCTAACCTGACCTAACCTGACCTGATCTGACCTAACCTGATCTGACCTAACCTAACCTGACCTGATTTAACCTGACCTGACCTGACCTAACCTATGTAGGTGATGGTTATTTATCGTTATTTACCTCTTCTTGTTTGTTCAGTGCCATAACAGGAAAAAATAAAACCCATTATGTTTAGTCACAATCCTTGGCTGGAGGAAACAATATAATCTGGAATAAAAAATAAACTTTGTAGCAAGAAAACTAATTTTGGAGGCCATTGAGTAGTGGCCTTTAGCGTTTGTCCCTAGAGTGACATTTTCTGTGAAGTTAATTATTTTTCAATTTAGTTTTCTAGAAGTGATTATACTTTTCATTAATTTTCCGCCGTGAAATTGTTCAACTAATAATAAACTTGAGTCCTGAGGGCGGCAGTAATAAATAACAAAACAATTGCTACAAACCAAAATGACTTTGTGAAATATCAGAGAGGAGAATTACTCGACACTTCAATGTTATTAAAAAAAAATTTTTGTATTTATTGTGAGAAATATTTATCTACAGAAAAGGTAAATAATTTAGATGAATATATTTTTGATATCCCTGATGGAAATTATATAAATATCAAAATATCTGTGATGAAGGTAACACCGGATAAATATCAACATCCATATCAGTATTTTTTTATGGTGTATAAACAGGCGAGGGTGTGAGGAAATGACAGGTGCTTCACTGATTATATACAGGGAAATCTTTTGTTGTTACCACAGGTATAGTCCTCACAGGTGTAAACTGTGTGTGTGTGTGGTAAAGGGACGTATTCCCTCACAATTAATCACAGATAAGATCGGAATATTACATAAATATTTACCACCATTACACCCGGAATAAAACTGCAGATTAATATTACAAATATTTTTCATAGGCGAATCCTTGGAAAACTGTTAATCATAAATCATTTTTTTCCGATTTTTCCGATTTTAATTTTAATTTAATAACACCTTCGAGTCTATAGAAGAGCATTTCGTTAACAAGGAACAAATATGAGCATCACTCAACGTCACTGCTCCGTTTACAGTCAACACCAATACATCGCATGACGTCACCTGAATTAATGTTTATATTTCCTCGACTGAAATTAAATAGTGTACTGTATATTAGGATTTAATATAGGTTAATAAATATATATACTGTAATATAATTCAGTATGTGTGTGTGTGTGTGTTAGGGAAAACCTATAATTATTAGACGATTATAGTAGTGAAGAGTACTGTATAACAAAGCCGAGTTATAGGTCTCATATCTCCAAAGCCCAGCACATCACACAACTGTCTACTCCACGACACAATGCACACCTACCCAGCCCTCCACCTAACCTAACCTAACCTAACCTACCCCTCCACCTAACCAAACCTAACCTAACCTAACCTAACCTAACCTAACCTAACCTACCCCTCCACCGAACCTAACCTAACCTACCCCTCCACCTAACCTAACCAAATCTCGATAATTATGAAGCTTCTACTGATAAACAACTCCAATGATAACGCTCTTCTCCCCCATGTCTTCCTGTGTTGAGTGATAGGCGGCAGTGTTAGGTGTGTCAGTATAAGCCATCAGGTAAACTTGTCAGGTAGGTGAGTGTTGTGTTAGGTTAGGTGAGTGTTGTGTTAGGTTAGGTGAGTGTTGTGTTAGGTTAGGTGAGTGTTAAAGAAGTTAGGTGAGTGTTTGTGTTAGGTTAGGTGAGTGTTGTGTTAGGCTAGGGTGAGTGTTGTGTTAGAGGTGAGTGTTGTGTTAGGTTAGGTGAGTGTTAGGTTAGGTGAGTGTTGTGTTAGGTTAGGTGAGTGTTGTGTTAGGTTAGGTGAGTGTTGTGTTAGGTTAGGTGAGTGTGTTAAAGGGGTGAGTGTTGTGTTAGGTTAGGTGAGTGTTGTGTTAGGTTAGGTGGTTGTGTAAGGTTAGGTGAGTGTTGTGTTAGGTTAGGTGAGTGTTGTGTTAGGTTAGGTGAGTGTAGGTTAGGTGAGTGTTGTGTTGGTTAGGTGTTAGGTGTTGTGTTAGGTTGTGGTGTTAGGTGAGTGTTGTGTTAGGTTAGGTGAGTGTTAGGTGAGAGTGCTGTGCGTTAGGTTAGTGTTAGGTGTTGTGTTAGGTTAGTGTTAGGTTAGGTGAGTGTGTTAGGTTAGGTGGTGTTGTGTTAGGTTAGTGAGTGTTGTGTTAGGTTAGGTGAGTGTTGTGTTAGGTTGTTAGGTTAGGTGAGTGGTGTGTAGGTTAGGTGAGTGTTGTGTTAGGTTAGGTAGAGTGTGTGTTAGGTTAGGTGGAGTGTTGTGTTAGGTTAGGTGGAGTGTTGTGTTAGGTTAGGTGAGTGTTGTGTTGGGTTAGGTGAGGTGTTGAGGTTGTGAGTGTTGTGTTAGGTTAGGTGAGTGCTGTGTTAGGTTAGTGAGTGTTGTGTTGGGTTAGGGTGAGTGTTGTGTTAGGTTAGGTGAGTGTTGTGTTAGGTTAGGTGAGTGTTGTGTTAGGTTAGGTGAGTGGTGTGTTAGGTTAGGTGAGTGTTGTGTTAGGTTCGGTTATTGGCGGAGATATGAGTGATTAAATTGATGGGTCACAGGACAGTAAGACATTAGTATCTCTATAAAACTTCCATTAATTAAAAAAAATCATAATAACAAAGTCAACTCGAGCTCCACATTGTTAGTTATTTTCAACACTTTTATTAAACAGCCTGTGTGATATCAAGTTGATCAGACAATTAGCTAATGACTGCACTTAAAGGCTGTTTGAGTAAACCGCAATAAAAATGAAAAATAAATATATCACTCAATTCCAACATTAGTGCACATTTGGAGAATATAGTTTATTACTTTATAGATTGGCAGTATGTGTGTGTTGGGGGGGGGGGGGGCTGAATACCTGACTGATGTACGTACACAGGTGAATAAAAAAGCCACTTTTGTGCACATGTGTGCTTGTACCTCTGACCTTCTTATTAAACTTCTCTTACCGTCGGCTGGTCCAGGACATTGACGGTGTATTAAATGTTTACCTGAACAAACGCTAGCATTGGGTCTGCCCTGGACTGTGTACATGACTCACAGGCGGTGCCATCACAACACTGCCAGATATATTACTCAAGGGCCTCATATATCTTGTTCCAAAGACTTTAATTCTAACTGTTTGACTTTATCCCTCGAACACAAATGCACATAGGTAGTATTAAATGATGATAGCCCCAGTTTAAAGTAGAACTCTTTGATGAATGTGATAATATGTATTTTTTCTCTTTTAAACAAGTTCCTTTCGTGTCCATTATTGCTGCTTCTTTACCACATAATATACATAATAACAAGCTCTCCTTAACAGACTAGGATACAAAAATATGATGAATTCAGGTATAAAATATATATATATAAAATTAAACTACTTGATACAGAGTAAGAATCATCAGTACGTCTACCAATTGATCGTAACTTTACACCTTTTCCTGCTATAACTACGTAACTTCTCTACTTGGCTGTTACAAGACATAGTTTATCGAGTCACTTGACGTTGAGGTACACTAATGATGGCTGGGGTGTATGGTATATTATCATTATTATAGATATTAAACCTCTGTGAATAATTCCTTTGTTTTTTTGTTTTCATTGATTGGTGATAGTTGTCTATTATTTTTGTGTGTGTATATGTAGTTAGTATATTCTCTCTCTCTCTCTCTCTCTTACCCACTGACTTCCACTCACCGCTATTCTCTTTCTCTCTCCCTCTTAGACTCTCACTCACTCACTCCCTTCCTTGGTCGCCCTCTCTCTCGGTCGCCAATAGGACAGACACCCCCGATAATCTCCTAAAATACTAAGGTTTACCTTCCCTAATTGCCTCGCCAGGAAGAGCCTCTCATAGCAGCTTATTACGCTAAGCTGCCCACCGTTTGATGCTTCCCACTAAAAAAAAAATATGTGAAAAGCAGAAGCTGGAAGGAGGGGAGAGCCTGATTTAATTCCACTAAAGTATCCGTGAGCCTTATCGCTTACTGGAGGCTCTTTTAGGGAATTTTATTTTGATTTTGAAAGAAACACTGAATATTTTCTTTTATATATCTATAACATTTTGTATATATTTGCTACAACTTATTGAAAATATTTTTGTTATATGGTAAAATTTTCTCTATTTCATCTAAGTCGTTTACCATCATAAAATAGCCAAATTATGTGTAAAAAAAGGGTTAGTTAGGGTTAGGTT